GTTGTAAAGTGCATGGGAAGATGTGGTCTCTAATATTTCTCCCACAGAGCTGCTGGTTCATTTCAACTGTCAGAGAGGAGCTGGAATCCAAACCATGTGCCTTTGGGATTGCAGTACAGCTTCTTGCCACTAGGCCACCAGAGTTTACTTATTAGGTAATTGTCGTTAAATGCCATTGAGTCACTTACAACTCATAGCAACCCTATGTACAACAGCTCTTAACCCTGCTTTATCCTGAGCCAGCCTCATCGTCTCTGACACACCCTCCGCTATTACCCCAGTCACTGAGTCAATCCATTTCATCCAGAGTCTTTCCCTCTTACGCTGTCCCTCCACCCTCCCAAGCATGATGTCCCTCTCCAAGGACTGGGCCTTCCTTGCAACATGTCCAGATTATGTCAGATAGAGCTTCAGAATCCTTGCCTCTAAGGAGAAGCCTGGTTTCACCCTTTCTAGGATGAACTTATTTGTTCTCCTAGCAGTCCATGATATATTCAATACTCTTCTCCGTCACCACAACTCCAGTTTTTCTTCTATCATCCCTAGTCGTTGTCCAGCTTACTGATGCATAGCAAGCCATTGCAAAGATCATGGCTGGGTCAGGCACACAATAGAATTTGTCTTGATTTCCTGGCTACTGGTACCAAGAGTGTTGATTGTGAAGTCAAGCAAGCTAAAGCTATTAACAATCTCAGTCTCTTCATCACCTATCATGATGCCCCATATTGGCCAGTGGTGAGAATCTTTGTTTTCTTGATGCTCAGCTTCAACCCATGTTGAAGACTGTAGTTAGTCCTTGACCTTTTGCAGCAAATGCCTCGGTTTGGCAAGCAAGGTTATGTCATCTGAGTAATGCAGATTGTTGATGAGTCTTCCTCCAATCCTGATACCACTTTCCTTCTTATAGAGCCCAGCCTCCTTGATAATTTGTTCCATGTAGATTGAAGAGATATGGAGATAGGATGCATCCCTGGCGTACACCTTTCCTGATTTTGAACCATGAGATGTTTCCTTGCTCTGTTCTGACTGCCTCCTGGCCCAAGTATAGATTTTGTATAAGCACAATCAAGTGCTCTGTGATTCCCATTCTTTTCAGAATCTTTCAAGAAAAAGCCCTATTTAGAAATTATTCTTATATGGGGAAGATGCATTATATGTATGATTTCAACCATTTTGAAACTTTGTAAGACCATCTCTAGAGTTATAATATCCAGAAGAGAAGCATAATAAAACCATTTGAAAGAGAAAAGTTAGTTGTCCCCAAATATCATGCTTTCCTCCAACTTCAGCAGAAAATAATAATCTGTTTAGAATGGTAAGTATATGATACCGTCAGAGTATAAAAAGAATAAATCAAGTTTTTTGAATACCATTTCAGACTTCCTCAATTGTGCAAGAAGTTCATTTTCTACTTTCATGCTTCCTTGGCAACTTATTGGCCCACATTCTGCTTGAATTGCTCAATATTTTCCTTTCTTTTGCTTACCCCTCTTTATTCTCCCCTCATCATGTCACCATACCCTGCCCACCTGCTGGGAACCTGCCAACAGATTTATTCTCTTGCCCATTTGTGTCGCTCTAGTGGAAGAACCTGAAGAGAATTGAGCTGGGTGTTTACTTTGGCCTGTGTGTTTGCCAAAAGTGAATATGACTAATAAACAGGATTATTATTATTATTATTACTAGAGGGAGCTCTGGTGGCCCTAATGATTAGAAACTATGCTGCAATCCCCAAGGCATGTAGTTCAAATCCATCAGCTGCTCTGCAAGAGAAAGATGCGCAGTAACCTCCTGAGTGATTGATTCACTGCCTCTGAAAACCTGCTGGAGGGTCAGCTATGAGTGGGTTCCAACTCCACGGCACACACCACCACCGACAGAGCACTACCAGGAATTAGCACTATTAAGTTCCTGCTTTGGCTGAGATTGCCTCTTAGACTCATTGCTGTCAAGTCAGAACCAACTCATAGTCCTCATAGCAGGTTTTCTGAGGCTGTAAATAGCACTGCTCATTTTCTGCCCACTGAGCTGTTGGTGGATTTGAGCCACCAGACAGCTGCCACCTTTGGGTTAGCAGGACCAGCTCCCCGTGGACTACAGCACCGGAGCTTCTGGTGAGGTCCAGACATCTGGATTAGCTGGGTCTTCCTAAAGATAATTTTTCATTCTTACTGAAACCTTGTTTAGTAGGTAGAATCATCCCCATTTTGCTCTACAGCAACAGTTACAAAGAGGTTCAGTAACTTGCTAGCATCCAAACAGTTGACTAGAAATTATACTCAATTCCATCTGGCTCCAAAGTCTAATCTAAGTTTTAGAGCTTGATCTGATTCAGTTAGGAATATAGTAGTGCTAGAGTCAGTAGAGAAAAATGAATAAATTCATTGCTTTGAAGTCAATTCCAAATCACCATTATAAGAGGAGCAGACCAGCCCCATAAGGGTTTCCATGTCTGTGATCTTTATAGAAGCAGACTGCTACCTCTTTCTCTTATGAATGGCTGGTAGTTTTAAACCACCTTTCATCCAGTGGTCTGATTATGAGATTTAGTTAGGAGTAGATTAGTATTAGAGTCAGTAAGGAGGAATGTGTTAACCTATTGTTGAGTCAATTCCAAACCACTTGATACTGCACTGGAAAAGTCTATATAGTCAAGGACTGCTCCAAATTACTGAAGAGGTCTTTTCAGTCACTTTCTATGCATCTGAGAGCTGAACAATGAATAAAGAAGACAGAAGAAGAATTGAACTGGGTTGTTGAAGAGGTGTGCTGAAGATCCCATGGACTGCTAAAAGCAGGTATGTCTTATAGAAGGGGCAGCCAGAGTGCTGCTTGGAGGCAAAAATGAAACATTCTTAGAGCATGTTGCTAGGAGAGATTATTCCTTGGAGAGGGACATCATGCTTGGGAAGGTGGAAAGACAGTGAAGGAGTGGATTGACACAGTGATTGTAGCCATGGACTTCAGCATGTCAGAGATTATGGAGATGGCATAGGATAGGATAGAGCTTAAATCTGTTGTTCATAGGGTCATATGAGTCATACTTGACTCGATCGCACCCAACAACAACTATCACCAATCAGCAGCACAATACTTAACTGCTGTGCCACTAGGACTTCTTGTAGTGATGCAAAACAAACAAACAAAAAATTTAAACAACAAGAACCAAACCCACTGTTACCTAGTCATTCAGTCATAGTGATTGTTATATACCACAGAGTTGGTATTAACTCATAGCAGACCCTCCAGTGTGTATATATCAGTAAACTGCACTTGAGGAGATTGTCCACCTTTTCTCCTGAGGAGCAGCTGGTGGCTTTGAACTGTGTGCCTTTGCATTGTCAGGGCAATTTATTACCACTAAGTCAGGATCACCAGCAGAACTGGATGGTGTAACTATGTAGTCTGGTGCTGAAATAGGGAGGCACTGGTGATTGTCAGGATTACAGGCAATATGAGAGGGGACATTAGGACTGAGTCAACTTGAAGTGATAGCCTATTCAGTTTCTATAGCTTTGGAGAGGGAAATAGTGTCCTTAGCCTAGGGGGCAGGGAGGTGGTATCTCTACGTCCCAACTCCTCAGTCCTGGGAAGGCTGCCAGAGTAGACAGCCAGGGAAACACCAAGGCAGAGAAGGTCATTATTAGGAGGAAGGAAGCTCTGGCAGCTCCCACCAAACCTGTTTGTGACATGTAGGCTCTGGGCCATGGAAGTCCCTTGAGGTCAAGGGAAACGTGATCCCAGAGCTTGGGGATGAAGCTGGGACACTTCCCTTAACCTAGGCCTTTACGCCAAGGAGATCTAGCTAGTGCCAGGCCTGAGGCCCAAGTTGGAAGAAGAGTGGGCTGGGGAGGGTTAAGGGCAGTTAAAGAGGGAGAAAGAGAATGAAGTGAGATCCTAGGAGGGGCTCATAAACACAGTCTCTTGGCTGGAGAGGTAATGACCTTTATTTGAGCCACTATGGGGTGACTGGCTCTTCAGAGTTCACAGAGAACATTTCTTCACAGATGAACTCTTACCTAGTTTTCCTCATGTCCCTGGAGAGGTCTGTTGTTTTTTTGTCCAACTGGTTCAGTAGAAAGTGTACTATCTTTAGAGTAAGGAGACCCAAGTTCAAGTCCAAGTTCTGCTACTAACCTATTAGGAAACTAAGTAAACTTTCTGAATCTCAATTCCTTCATCTCTACAGAAAGCAAGTAGTACCTCTGTCAAATCTATATTGGAAGATATTAGAGGATTCCTGTGGATACACATCAAAAAGCATGAAGTGTTATCTAAATATGTAGCAGTATTTCTTTGTCTTCTTCCTTCCTTCCGTCTGCAGTCTTCTCCTCACAGTTCACTTCACTGCCATGTCAGAGTTGTTAAGATTCTGAGTTTAAGTACAGGAATAGCTCTGCCTATAAATCTTGTACACCCTTCTTCCATTTATTTCCTCTCCTGTCATGCTGCCATGATAAGTTGGGGGAGAAGGCAGAAGACAGATATATACGGACATAGACTAGAGAATCTAACCTGGCTTCCTTTGAGGATGGGCTTCTAAGAAAACAGCAACAGAAGGATAAAGGATGAAAGACCATTTCCTTTGCAGTTTATCTCACAAAGTAGTCAACCTTAGATCCCCTATAGCTTCCATGAATAGACCCTGAGCCCTAGAAGGGACTCAAGAGTTGAGGGGAAAAGAATGTTCTGACAGGAGTCCAGAGCGAAGGCTGTATAGTGGAGTGGGCCAGGGGCGAGGGATTGTAAAACAATGAAATAATTTTTCTTTTACTTTTCCAAGAGGGTAGTGTACTAGGGGGAGGGTTGGGAGGGGAGAAAAGTGCAACAATGAATGAATGGAAATCCAAAGTCTCTGTACATCTTCATTGAAATTAATAATAAATTAAAAACAATGTAAAAAAAAACACAGAATGTTCTGAACATGAGAGGAACCATGCAGTAGCCTGGATATGGAATAAAGAGGAGATCTGGGAGTAAGACAAGGGAGCACTATCAACTTAAAGGACTTTGTCCAAGTGCACAGGAACCAATTGGAATTTTCCAGAGTCCCTTTTCTGGGGAGGATCACAGGCCACAATGTAGGAGGCACTCATCCGTTGCTCTTTGTACCTGCAGTTAGGGTACTTTCCTGAGACGTGCTTACACTCGGTCAGGGACACGGGACTTTGGCTCTGGTGGCAGTTCTTTTGGCCATTCTTGCAGGCTATGGTAGGCGTCTTGCAAGTGGTGGCCACTTTGGAGAAGGAGCTGTGCAGGAATGTGTTGAGATCTTTGCAGTGCTTGTTGTGTTTGTTAATACTGCCCATTGCCTTGTTGCATTTTTGAGGGCGCGGCTGCACATGCTGAGTTTCAAACCACTGAGCTGGCGTAGTGCCCCTTGGCCTGGCATTGACCAGCACCTTGGCTATCCACAGCCCCAGCAGCAGGAGCAGCAGAGGCCAGAGTCCTGCTCTGGCTGGTGTCATCGCTCTTAGGAGGGACGGTCAGAACAGAGTGCTGCAGTGGCTGTAGAAAGAGAGCAGGAGGTGTTCAGTTAAGAATTGAGGTCCGCGGGTGACAGATACTCTGGGCTTATCTGTTAACCTAAAAGTTGGTGGTTTGGACCAGTCAATGCCTTACAAAAGAAAAGCCAAGAGATCTACCTTTTTTTAAAAATTAGTCATTAGATTTTATTGATAATTACAATAGCTAAGCAACACTTTACTCCAAAATCTTTTATATAAAACAACCTAAAAGTGTTAATCCTAAAATCAGGCTTCAGCAGACTGTACCTGGAACACATTAGGCCTAACATACACAAAGACAATTTTTAAAATAATACATGAATGCAATACTCTTTGTAAAGAATTATATCCTAGGAGCAAAATAAACTCGGGGCAAAATCAAAGCATTCTTCTCAAAGACCTCTTGATCAGTGCCATCAAGTAAAAAAATGACTCATAGATCACCCTCTGGTGGGAGTTCAGAGGCTGTAAATCACACAGGATGAGATAGTGTATGTCTCACAGAGTGGCTGATGCATTCGAACTGCCTACCTTTAGGCTGGCAGCACAGCTCCTTACCCACTGGGCCATCAAATATGTTCTAGTATACTTGAAAATCCTTTAATAGAGGAGAGCTCTTAAATTTTAGTTTGAGAGTTTTTTGGTACGCTTCTTTTCCTTATTATGTATTTATTTCCAACTTCAGCTCATGTTCTTCATCTGTAAGACTCCCAGTGTCTTATTTCTTGCTTTCTGTACCTTTTCCTTGATGGCAGCCATATCGATATTAACTTACGTAGAAGCTTCCTTGGGTTTCACAACTGGTTTCTCTTTGTTTTGTTGTTAGGCGCTGTTGAGGAGCTCTGCTGGTTTAAGGGTGAAGAGTTGTGCTACCAACCTGAGGTTTGGTATGAAGTTTAAATCTACCAACTACTCCTCGGAAGGAGGTTGGGCCATCTCCTCTTGTGCCATTTACTGTCTCTGAACACCTACCGGAGGGTCAGCTATGAGTTGATTCCAACTTTATGTGGTACACAACAACAACAACAATCGTGATTTCTATTTAGGTGAAATAAAGGTGTGTTTCTTTCTTCTTGTCTTTTACTGAGAGCTTTTGCTTGTTTAGCTTATATTGTTTCAATTTTCTGTCGCTTCTCACTCACCTTAAAAAATGACAACATACTATTCACCACTAGGCCATTCTCTGGCAATCTTTCTGACTGTGGTGGTGGAAATGTGTATATTCTCTGTGTGTGTGTGTGTGTGTGTGTGTGTATGCATCCAAGTTTATTGAAAATATTATGGCTTAGCAGACAAATTCAAATGGCCCCACTGGTGTTTTGAAATTCATCCCAATTGTGGGTTGAGTGATCTGCAGGTTGGACAGACTGCCAACAGTCCAAGAGCTTCAAGAGTTCCTTAGTATCAGGATCTGTTTCAATGATCTTATCCTGAAACTCTGGTACATAATTATCTCTCCTTTACTCTCTCTTCCTACTGCAGCTTAATGGAGATACCTCTCATAGGCCCTCTCTGAATCCACTTCATCAGATGTGCGGCATAGCCTGCTAGCTTGTTCAGGAGCTTCTTGCTGGGAATAATGGCGATCTCCTTGCACATCTTCTTGTTGGTGTGGGAGTCATTTCCCAGGAGCATGTAGTATTTCTCAATGATGACCCCAGCTGCCTTCTTCATAGTTTTTGTGTGATCACGGACCATGTTGGAGGGTCCTTGGTGAAAGAGTGAATGTGTATATTCTTAACAGATTTTATTTCCTTTTGCTCTTCTCATTTATTCTTATTTTTATGTTTGAATTGTGGCAAATATCCTTCCTAATTTTATTAATTCACAATCTTTTGCCAAGCCCCATTTAATCATTAATCTTATATATTGGATGAATATTTGTCATAGTATCTAAAAGTACTTTCTGAACCTCTTTTTAAGCCACTGAAGGGTCCAAGGGCTGAAACTATGCTTTCCTGAATGGTAATACAATAGTTTGTTAATAGTCCTAATACCTTCAAGGTAGTTATTCAGAAAGCAGTAAATTGTCTTCTTTTTACGCACTATTTTTAGTTTGTAAAATACCTTATTTTGTAATGTCACATGCAGCAGCATCTTGAAGACTTTTTATTGCCTGCTCAAATGAAACACTCCTTACATTTTAGTAGGTCTATAATGCTAATGTCTAGATCAAAAGTCTTTGTTGTGCACTCCTGCTGCTCACAATCAACGTGTCCAAACTGGCATTTACATGGTGTTCATTCAAGGCTTTTGCACCAAAGGCCAGCATTCTTTCAGATAAACCTCTCTATATTTCAGGAACAAAATTTCTAAACTGCTCTCTCCCAAAGATCTTCTAAGATTGTCCTCTTTAGAAAAAACTAACTCTTATCAGCCATCAAGAACAGTGAAGAGTTCTGAATCACTTTGGTTTTGCAGCTTTTTGCTGTTTCTGTAGCTGACATATTTGGTGAGGAAGATGGTGTCTTCCACTCGGAGTCCTTAAAGATTGCACGAAAGGATGTCCATGGAGCAGTTCTACTGTGTAACCTGGATTTTCCATGATCTGGAATCTACTCAGTGATGACAAGTTATACCAGCTCATTGTCTCCCTACCCTACTGGCTCTTTTCCTTATTTATGTTGTTTTCTCTGAGTACTTCTTATATCCACCTCTTCACCTCCATCTCTGTGATGCTTTCACCTTGTGCCCCTATTTTCCTTCATTGAGTCCCATTGTTGTATTTTTTCTTTTTTTAAAAAAATTTATTAAGGATTTCTTAATGTAACATATATATTTTTATAGCATATTCTTTCCATTTAATTTCCCCCATTCATTCATTGTTGCACATTTTCTTCTCTGCCCATCCCTACCCCCCAGTCCCATTCTTTTCTCTCTTTTTTTCTCCCTTATACCCCCATCCCCTTTGCATTCTCATGCACTTATAATTTTATCTGCATTTATTGTCTGTCATTTCCTCCACATAGAGTCTCCCTTTGCCAATTTTCTCACTCATCTGGGTGTAATCTTACCTAGCCAGAAAACATCCATTCTTGGTCCTTTCTCCTCATCCATCTCTAACCCCAGGTCTCACCTTCTCACTTGGCTCTTGCTCCTGTTCAGCCGACTGAGCATTTATCCACCCACTACTGGGCTGTCAGATCTCTTGAGGGCCTCTTCTCACTTGCTAACACCTTCAAGACCTTTCTGGGCTATATAGTTTCTGTTTAGGGGTGGGTCCAAATTTTTGAGCAATCATTGAACCAGGAAATGAATCAGGTTCACACCTCTCTATTTACGTGTTCCAAATAAGTGGCTAGGTATGGGGGTGATGTACCTATCAAAATGTATTCAGCAGTGTGGAATTTCATTCTTCACATCCAAAGACTATCTTTGGCACCTGGCGACATGGTTTTAATTGCTCTTTAATGAAGCACCTGACCCGTATGTCAACTCTAAATGAATTTTAGGGAAAGTTGTAATTTATTTTCTCCTAAATCTTTGGCTGTCTGGACCTTTTTACTCTGTTCTACAGGGTCACTACAAAAAAGGGCTTCTGCTGCCTCCCTTCCGGGAATTGAACTCTGGCCTCCCACATGACAGGTGATGATACCAGCAGTGAGTGGATGAACACTCAAATCTTGAATGATCCAAGAAACATCAAAAGAAGATGGAAAGAATACAGTCACGTACCAAAAAGAATTGACTGACACAGAACCACTTCAAGGTGTAGCTTATGATCAAGAACCAATGGTAACAAAGGAACAAGTTTAAGTTGCACTGAAAACACTGCAAAAAAGAAAGCCTTAGGAATTGATGGAATACCAATTGACATATTTCAACAAACATATGCAGCCCTGCATGTGCTCACTAGATTGTGTCAAGAAATCTGAAGGGTAGCTACCTGGCCAATGGACTGGAAGAGATCCATATTTATTCCCATTCCTAAAAAAGGTGATCTAATACAATGTGGAAATTATCAAACAATATCACTAATATCACATGCAAACAAAATCTTATTAAATAGTATCCAGAAAGGACTAGAACAGTAAATAAGCAGGGAACTGCAAGAAATACAAAAGGAGTTAGAAAAGGCCATGGCACTAGGGATATTATTGCTCATATCAGTTAGACATCGAGCTGAAAACATAGTTTCATAAGGATAGCTAATTGAGTTTTATTGACTATGACTGTGTAGATCACAACAAATTGTGGCAAACCTTGAGAGGAATGGGATCTCAGAATATTTGATTGTGCTCATGTGAAATCTATCCCTAGACCAACAAGATGTTGTTCAGAGCAAGGAAACACTACATGGTTCAAAATAACGAAAAGAATGTGTCAGAGATTAATCCTTTCTCCATACTTTTAAAATCTATATGCTGAACAGATAACTTTTTAAATTTATTTTATTTTTTTGAACAGATAATTTGAAAGCCTGGACTTTATGAAGAAGACTGGCATTAGGATTGGAGGAAGACTCATCAACAGCCTGCATTATACAGATGACACACCTTCCTTGCTCACGGAAACTGAGGAGGACTTGAAGCTCTTGCTGCAGAAGATCAAGGACTGCAGCCTTCAGTACAGATTGCATCTTAACATCAAGGAAACAAAAATCCTCCGTACTGGGGCAATAGACAACATCATGATAGATGGAGATAAGATTGAAATTGTTAATGATTTTATCTTGCTCATATCCACAATCAACACCTTCACACCAGCAGTCAGGAAATCAAAAGATGAGTTGCCTTGGGCAAATCTGCTATCAAAGACCTCCCCAGAGTGCTAAAGAGCAATGATGTCAGCCTAGATATTAAGGTGCACCTGATCCTGGCCAAGGTCTTCTCAGTTGTTTGCTTTACATCTGAGAGATGGATAATGGCTAAGGATGGCAGAAGAAGAATTGATGCTGTTAAGCTGTGGTTCTGGAGAAGAATATTGGAAAGACCACGGATTGCCAAAAGAACAAACAGGTCTGT